TGTAAGATGCACAGTTCCTTCTGGTTTGTACATCTTGTTGTTTCACAGTTTTCCTCCTTCTAGCAGGTGCATCACTGACAGTGTGTTGTGACAAGAGACCTTCATGCATAACAAGGTTTAGTGAGTGAGCAACACATCCTAAACTAGGGAGCCCCAAATCCTTCACGACTGATAAGGGTTGTTCATCCGAAGTGATGAATTATACTAATTTCTCAGTGATTGCTTTTGTATTGACATTTGTCATTAGGTGTATTTAGAGGAATAGTTTTATAAAAGAAGGTAAAAACTCTCTTAACTTCTATAAGTATAAGGTGAGGTCTGAAGTCCTCTGTGTTATCTGTCCTGCAGGATTTGGAGTGTTTACGTTAAAAAGGCCTCCTGGTCCAAAGGTCTATCTCTCTTAGTTCAACATAGATGAGATCAATTTAAAAAGGGCCATATGTTCAGTTTGCTTTTTCAACAACAAGTACCCTATATAAGCAGCTGGTTTATTCTGTTCTGGAGGGGACACAATTGGCACGGATCCTCTCTCAGGTACTTTATAGTGCTTGATATGATACCATTTTACTTTGTAATAAACATCTTATGCAAGTAATGCGGTGTCAGTGGAGACTTCTTCAGCATCTTCACATCATTGCTACTTAATAAACAACAGTCACATTCACAAAATGCATCTTCTAAAGATTGTTGCTGATGTAGCCAGTTTTATATGCAAATAAAGCAGCACCTAGAAGGGGCGTTTTTTGCTCTGTCACTCCTCACTATTAAGAAGCAAAGGAGACGATATAATGGAGAGCTTGTCATTTAATTTTCTCCCTTTACAGGTGAAAACACACACAACACAAATACTCCCTTTAGAAAAGTGTTCTAAGTGTTGTCGAATGTGTTTGTTGAAAACGACTAAACACATAACTCTCCATGGTTAGCAAAAGACCACGAGGCACTTTGTCTGCTGCATCCGTCTAAAAAAATACTATCAGTTAAAGGGTAGCAAGGTTACTGTGGCCACATTTCTGAATGCTAACTGTGATTGGTTAAAAAGTAATGATGATATAGCTGTAAGGGCTGGCCCCAGGGCTGTGGCGCTCCCGGCCACCAGAGGGAGATGACACACATGTCCAAGGGCCAATCAAGCCCAACGTCGTACAACTGGGCAGAGGACTTCATAAGCGCAGAGAAGGAGACACACATTGCTGTGTCTTTGTCTCAGTTTGAGTCAACAGAAGCAGCTGGTAATTTGGCTAAGAGGGCTGAGAGTTTTGCACTCCCCCTCACTTCTCGAGTTGCTCCAGCCTCCTCTTGAGGTTCTGTTCTCTGTCTCTGAGAGAGAAAAATGAAAAGCACATGAAGGAACCCTCCTTCCTTCTCTTCAGTTTTGGTTTCGTTTCTGTTGGAAGTTCTCTCTCTACTTCTGAGAAAAACAGTTTTCCCCTGGTGTCCCTTGTTCTCTCTTCCTGCCGGAACTTAAATGGATGGATTTAGAATTTTGATATATTTTTCCAACTCACTTTCAGGCACTTTGATATGAGGCGCGTTCCTTTCAGCACTTGCGCAGCTCTGTTACACCCTGGGTCTGATCCCCGGCCTCATCACTTGTTTAGGTTTTTTAGTGAAGCTCATCCTTCCTGTTGTACGTTAGCTTGGCACTTGGGTCCTGTCTCCCTAAAAGCCATGGTGGCTCACCTGGTAGGCCTCTGGGATATTACTCTGATGGCCTGGTGTCTTCTTTCTTATCTTCTGTCTGGTGAGCCGTCCCACGTTACAACAGCAGTGTACAATCTTCTGAATTTTAAATGCAGTTTAAAAAGTAATGGTGTTACTGAAGTAAATGTTAAATGTTCTAAATGTTGAATTAGAATGGATTAGAAATGTGGTACTTTACTATAATAGCTATATCTACAGTACTGTAAAAAAGTATTTGCCCCCTTCCCAATTTCTTCCATTTTTTTGCATGTTTGTCACAACTGAATGTTTCACATCATCAAACTACTTTTAATATTAGACAGATAACCCAATTAAACACAAAATGCTGCTGTTAAATGATCTTATTTATTGAAGGAGAATGCTGTTCAGCCATACCTTGCCCCTGTAGCTACTAAATTAACCAGTAAATCAAATTCTATTGACTACTGGGTTCAATTTCACAATCCACACTCGGGCATGATTAATGCCAGACCTGTTGAATCTAAATATCAGTTAAATAGAACCTGTCTGGAAATGTGAAGCAGACTAGAAGGCCTCAAAGCAGCACATTGTCACATTCTAAAAAGACTCAAATAGAGATGTGAAAGCCAAAGTCATTTCAATCTATGAGTCTGGACAGGTTCAAAGCCAACGCTAAGACTCTGAGACTCCAGCGAACCACAGTGAGAGCCATTATTCACAAATGGAAAAAGCTTTACATCTGGTGTGAAGCTAACACTGCATTCCACCATAAGAACATCATTCCAACAGAATGCAGCAGAACAATGATCCGAAGCACACCAGCAAGTAGACCTCTGAATGGCTACAAAAAAACAAATTGAAGGTTTTAGAGTGACCTGACTATAATCCCACTAAGATGTTTAAATGGACATTTAATGCTCAAAGAAATTATAGCCAAATTAAAACAGAAAAATGGAACACAAAAATAGAAGAAATCAGGTGGGGGCAAATACATTTTTGCAGCACGTACATCATTTGGAAATATTTGTACAATCTGTATTTTAAACTCACTTGCTGTAAAGATGCAGACAACACAGTGAAGAGTTTGTCAATTAATTATCTTCCTTTACAGGGCTACTACACTGACCTGTGGTAGCTTGCTTCATTGTGATTGTTTGGATGTTGCTGTGTGAAGAATAGGGGCAAGTCATGAAGTCACTGTGCACTTGGGCATGGTTTATCTTTAAATGCTTAAATAGATTTGATGTTTTGAAATACTAGCTGGTTGTGTCGCCTCTCAAAATGCTGGCGTTACAGATTTTGCCCCCCCTTGAAATACTGCTGTTACAGAATTTGCAGTAGGCTTTTTTTGCTACTGCTTGTGTTGAGTGATCCCACCCTGCCAACATGTTGCTCACTTCATTTAGGTTTCATCTTGTAGTGTGCATGCATGTGTCACTCAATTGCACACATGCATGCATCACACTGTAAAATCTAAAAGTGCCTCAGATGTCCAATAGGATTCCTTTTAGGTGCCTCAAAAGGCCTTTTCAAGTAATAAGGTTACTGTAGGAACCCTTAATAGTCAACAAGCTCTTGCAGGAACCTCGAACTACCTCACTGGATTCCATAAAGTAGCATGGTCTTGGTCTTGGTCTCTAGGTCTTGGAGGAACCCTTTTCATTTGGGGGATCCAGAAGAACTTTTAGGCCTAACATGGGTTGTTTTAGGACCTCTAAAGCTTTAGCGTGTTCCCCAAAGTCCTCCTGTATTCTAGCAGGTTCCTTGAGTAACCAAAAGGTTTGGTTACTTACATCCATTAAAATTATGACTGAACTGGGATATGCATAAATGCATTTGAAACTTCTCTTTGTGTATAGGTTCTTCCTGACACTGCAAATACTGATAATGGTATTTCCTAAATTACTAAAGCACTGCTTTTGGAAAATCTTAAAGTCTGAAATAGAAACTCAAAAATTACAAAAAATAAATGAAGTCCGCAAAACCTAATACGTATACTATACTTGGCCTGAAACCTAATGGGTTTTGGGTTCCATCAGGTCCTGGTCGGGAAGCAATTGTCAAATTCTGACAATTACTGTCCTTGTGACCTACACAGAGCACGAGTTGCTCGCCAACCTATAACAATGGTCACAAAAATAAAATGGTTTCCATCTATCGATTTCTGGTAGTATTAACAAAGCATATTCTTCATATTTTACAGCCGTATTATATAACTTCCTTGTGAAATTTGATCATATTTCAAAATGTCTTTATTTACTGTTCATTTGTTTGCAATGACTTCATTAGATTGACAGGCCCTATTTAGTATCCCAAAGCACAGACACACAGTTTTAAAAACACAACAAACTTTATTTTAATTAATATATATTTTATATGATTACATGCTGTGTTCAGCAGAGTGCTGACAGTTATAAACAGCAAAAAGAAAAAACAAGTATTGTAGCTGCAGAAGTGCAAACCAATCTGATAATGGGGGCTGGAGGCTAGGGAGCCAGGACAATGACCCCCAAGTGCTCCCCGGGTGCCGTGGATAGGGCTGCCCACCACTTCGGGCAGGTGTACTGACTGCCCCACTATTGTGTGTGTTCACTAGTGTGCATGTATGTGGGTGTTTCACTGCACAGATGGGTAAAATATGGAGGTCTAATTCCGTCTAAAACTGTGTGCAAGCACAGTTGACCAATCATTCATTCTCCCACTAACTCACATTTTCCCTGAACTGAATCCAGTACATGATGACAGAATGTTCACTTTAAACAATTTTGAAATATCTGCTTTGAGCACACTGTTTTAGATCAAATCAGAAAGACTGTCTTGTTCATTTCTACATGCTACTTTTTTATACTATTAATTCTAGATTTTTCCCAGATGTTTTGGGATTTTCAGGTTTGCTTTTTGGATTTTCTTTCCAAAATAACTTCTGCTATAGGAAATGCTATAAGTAAGCTTGCAATGCGGAATATTTAAAATCATTCTTATCCACGAAAGAATGGAAAAAAAAACAGTAGCTGCTCCTTCACTCTACTTATTTTAACACAGGTTCCCTTTTGTCTGTTCAATGCTGCCTTTAAAATGGGATTTGTAGGGTTTCTGTGCAGGCTGCTGGCACAGATGTTCATTATTGAATTGAATAAAAATCTATCAAAATGTGTATTTAGTCCTGAAGGCTGAGCCATGTGTTGTGCGAGTGTGCAGCCTGCTTTCCATTCAGATTAACACTTCAGTTCCAAACCACACACGACCCTGCAGTAATGACAGAACGCATACAATCTCTACAGACTGTATCCTTATTTAGGACTTAATGCAAGCAATTGAAATGCTCCATTCAGGGGAATATTCTATTGTAAATCTGGACTGTGAAGCTTCTAGTTGGCTTTGGCCCATTTATACTCACGGCCCTGAGACCACAGCAAAGGCCAAAAAACACCAAAACAACAACAACAACAAAAAGAAAAACGATTCTCATGGACAATCTGTGAGATCTTAAATGTCTTTATATGTAAAAATAAATAAAAATGTATTTCTGCTCTTCTGTGTTATGTAGACTAAATTAAAATACAATTCAACTTTTCTCACAGATTCCAACTTCAGGGGTACTACAGGTACCATCAGCCCAGGTTGATACACGTTCAGATCCAGCACCTCTATAGCCAGTTATAGCACAGTCATCATGTCCTGTATTATCATTGGGTTCTCCCTTCCACCAGAACCTGAAACACAGAATCAGATCATCTTCACTATTACACCTCTAGACCTTCTTAGAGAGAGTGAATAACTGTGTTATGAACAGTTCAGTGGTCTCTTACTTGGTGGTCAGTGCTGTGCTGTCCACCCATTTCCAGACCCCTTCTTTCTCCATGTCCGTCAGACCAATCCAAGCTTGAGTGCTGACGAATGCTTTAGTGATGAACTCCTGACACGGTACAGTATAGCACAATGTGAATAATATAAAGCTGAAGAAGAGTAGTACCTCTCTCTCTCTCTCTCTCTCTCTCTCACCTGTTCTTCTCTGCTGTTAATGATCGCCAGGTCAGCTCCTCTCTCTGTACAGTCCTGTCTGCTCTCACTCCAGCTCTTCTTCTCAGTAGTCACGTAGTAGAGACTGGAGCTGAAATATTCCCATCCTTGCATGTGAAAAGTAGATGTAGATTCAACTTTTCATTGCTTACTATTTTCATTTGCTTAGCTTATACCAGAAGTACAAATAGCAGCACCGTGCAAAAGGAACAAAGTGCAGCTGTAATATTATAATATACTGTTGTAATATGTAATATTATATTACATTAATATTATAATATTAATGTAATATCTTTATATACAAGTAATAACTGTATGAAATATATGAACTAGTTAAAGAACAATGCTCCATTCTAGAGGAACCAGACATTTGAAGTTGTAACGCCTCTAAAAGCTACATTATGAAAAGCCATGAAATGGTTACAAATACGTTGCCTGATGTCTGAGGCACTCCCATGTGATAGTTTTGAGACAAGATTTCTGTTCTGTTTTGTTCTTCTCCTGTTTTATGTATCATGTGACTAGTTTATGAGTTAGTTTATAAGCCCGGGCTTTAGGCTAGGTTGTGAGGTATTGCTTCTTTGATAGAGCTGCTGAGCGCTCTTGTCTGTATTCTGATCTGCTCTGTGTATCTGAGCCATTGTTTGTATCAACGACTCTCCCTTTGCCTGTTTCCTTTTTTTGAGTTTGGTTGCCTGGATTTACCTGATGTTATGTTTGTATACTGTTGGCTCATTTTGGTTTTGACCTTCACCTGTTTTTCGACCTAAATTGTAGATTTTGGACTCTTGTAAAGCCTCTTTTTCGCATTTTCGCATCTGTGTGAATAAGTCTGACTCATTACAGAGACCTCGTTCCTATCACTTTCACTGTAAAGAAAATGTTAATGTTTCTCTACAAGTTTTATATCAGACCACTCTGAATGACGTTGTTTATATTTCAATGGTTGAATTATACAAAAATTAAATCAGTTCTAGTTAGTTATAAATGTCTTTTCAAATGCTCTTTTTACACTATTTTTGGTCCTGGCCCATGCCCCTTAATTTCTGGCATCAGGTTGCCACCCATCTCACAGCCCTAAGGCATTGCAGTAATCTAACTGTGAGCTTACAAATGCATGAATGAGATTCACAGCATTGCATCAAGTCAGAGTCTAGAAATATTTCGTAAATGGTAAGAAGCGGTTTTACAAATAGACAAATGAAGCAGACAACAATGTAGAATCTATTGTAACTCCAAGATTCTTCACACATGGTAACAGCATTATCAAATGACCATTTACAGCAGTATTGTTCAGCCATCCAATCATGTATATTTTCCAGGCATCTAGTTGCCTGATATAAGGCAAGTTGCGAAAGCTTGCAAAAAACATAGCCCAGTGGAAGCATATTTAAGAACAGGATGGGACCCAATGCTGACCCCTGGGGGACACCTGAAGTTGTAAATAAGTCACTGGTTGGAAACAACCTTATCCAAAACTTTAGATAAGAAAGGTACGTTGGAGATGGGCCTATAGTTAGACGGGTAAGTAAGACAAAGGTGTCAGGATTGTTTCTTCAGTAGAGATTTTACTGTAGCCATTTTAAAGTGATGGTACCACATGTCACAAATCTATTTCCTCATTACTGAGCTGATCGCTTGAAAAGTAGCTTTCAGTAACAAAGTGGGAAAAGGATCTAAAGTGGAGGTACAGGGCTTCAATTTAGAAAAAAAAATAAAGTCAGAAATCATCAAAATGGTGAAAGCAAAGGACATAATGTCAAAAGAAAGTCTTTCCATGCTGACTGCGATTTGTCCACATCAGTTGCTCAGTTATATTGTGTTTTATACATAATATAGTTTATAAAGTTTTTTTATGGATTTTAACTTTTAGGGCCCTCAATCACCAGGAGCTCCAGGGCCCACAGGCAGGTTTAAATCGTCTCTGGCAATAATCAGAAGGCTGGAGAAATGGACAGCAATAGACACTCTTGGAGGAATGCATGACAGACATGAAACATTTAAGTTGTACAATATGGATGTATAACATGTCTGTTCTTTCCAGAGTAATTCCAGAGCAGTTTCCTTCTGATCAACAACTCAAGCTTTATTTACTCACCTATTTCTGACAACTTCTTCTGAAGCGTTTCCTTTTCCTTCTGTAATTGGCCCATCTCATTTTTCATGTTGTCATAATTGGTTTTTATGTGGTCTCTCTCTAGAGTCAGGTTGGTGTAACTGGTCTGTAACTGGTCTCTCTCTGCAGTGAACTTAAACCACAGCAGTGGGATGGCAGTCAGCAGGAGAACACACAGCAGCCCCAGACACACTGCTGTCAATCTGTAGCATCTGGTTCCTGCAGTGTTGATTCCAGTAACTAGAAAAATGTACAATAATATTCACCAGTTCAGTGTTTTCACTTTAACTAAAGGTATGACATTTCTGTGATTATATACATTTGGCTAATGCTTTACAGGAACTACATGTACATGAAGCATTGATATTATGTTTCCTAATGACATCACCTAGAGGTAGCATGTACAAAGAGAAAAGCAAAGGCCCTAAAACTGAACCCTGAGGTACTCCACAAAAAGTGCCAGATCTTTTTGATGAATGATTTCCCATTGAAACCATGAACTGCCTATTATCCAAATATGATTTAAACCATTCTAAAAGTGTACGCGAGAGGCCCACCCAGCATTCAGGACATTGGATTAGAATCTTGTGGTCAATGGTATCAAAAGCTGCCCTAAGATGTAATAAAACCAAAATAGAAGGATTTTGTGCAACATTGCTGAGCCTGAGGTTGTTCACAACGTGAATCAATGCTGTCTCAGTATTGTGGTGTAAAATATAAGTGATTATATCAATATACTCAGCACAAGGTCATGCAATATATGTATCGTTCCACCAAACTGGTTCGAAGTCAGAGTTGAAACACTTTTTGGACTTTTAACTGACTCAGACTTTAAATTTAAATCTCTTTGCTTTGAGTGACATGCTTTAATCACGTTTTAGCTAATTTTTTAGATTCAGTGGCGTGTACATCATTTAAGACACAATTCAAATTCAAATGCAAAACATGTATTCATGTTTCATTTTGGTGAAAAATGGGTGGAAAAAGTTTTATATGGAAATTCAAAGTGTTTAAGACATTTCATTTTCACAATCTTAATGGTATTACTCCGACATGTCAAAAACAAAAGAACAGTTGTGTCACGAATGTCACGGGCGAAGCAGAGGAAACGGACTCGATCTCCCAGAGTCCTCTGGGAGATCACATGACTGTGACGCTTCCTACAAACCACAGGACACACACGGACTCCATCCCCCAGAATACACAGGGAGATCAGCTGACTGCTGATCTCCCCACACGCTCCTATCAGCGTTCTCGATCGTCTGAATACTGATGTGTTTCACCTGTGTTTTGATCATGTGACTTCTTTAGTTAGCTTTAAAGACCGGTCTTTAGCGAGTGTTCTTTGCGAGGTATTGTTTCTTTGGTAAACTACTGAGCGTTATATCTATGATCTGGATTTTGTGTATGACCTGTAGCACCCGTTCTTTTAGACTCTGTTTTTTGATTTGCCCTTTTGGACTGATTGCCCCGGATATCTGTTCTCTGTGTGTTGACCTTTTTGCCTGTTTTTTGACAACGATCTTGGACTCTGACTTCAACATTAAAGCTTACTTCTCGTTCTTAATCCGCAAGCGTCTGAATTCTGTGAAACCGTTACAAGTTGCCTATTTGCAATTGTATTTCCTCATTCTTGTGCTTCAGCTCTGCTACAATTAAAATGTATTTGCAACCCTGTTTGCAGTTGCATTTTCATGTGAACACTCCTGTCAATCAAACGCTATGGGTGGCATGAGGGGAGGGACTTTTCAGTGCAGGCGTGTTCTTAAGAGGAAGTGATGAAAAAAGACTAAACTTTGGTGGTGCTGACACAGAGCGAGACTGTGAACAACTAGCAGAGCTTGTGGCTGTCAGAGTGTTAGTCATATTATGACCAGCTTCAGGCAGCGACTCACAAGACTGCCGGTTTTCTAAAATCATCTTATTGTTAAGGTCATCTTAACTACACTGGTGGTGTTCACTGTGATGCTCCTGCTACCATTTAACAGTTATCTGTGTGCTAAGATGTTTTCCTAGCACAAAGATAACTGCATGTTTTGCATTTGAGTTTGATTTCACTCACATGGGAAATGCAGTTGCAAATACACAATTTAATAAGTATTTTCAAATTTCCAATTTGAAAAAAAGTCCAAAACATGCTGCCATACAATAGAAAGTACCATATAAATATAAATGAACTATTTTGGTAGAATGGACCATACAGGACTGTAAAATGTCATTTATGAACATTAACAAGAAAACAATAATGAATAAAAAATTGATATGTAATATCTCATGCTTACCATTATATTCTTTCTCAGGGTATATACCACACATCATTGACTATGTTTTCAACCCATTATATGAAACAATTTCTACTCAATAACAAATACATTTGAATGTTTCAAAATGATTGTGTAATTGTAATGGGGTGTTGCTTTACTGCTCACAAAAATGCCAATGAATACTTCATGTGCATGGAGTTACTGTAAAGCATTACCCAAAATATCCTTTTCCAAACTATTGTAGGCATCCAAAACAAGTGTGTAACATGATGAATTGATCTAAATAAATACATTATAATTACACTTTCAATGCATGAGCAAGTATGTACATTTTTAGTCTGTGTTGCTGCAAGCACTTGTATATGTAAACATACTGCACCTGAGGTCTTGGGTTTCTGGGTTCTTCTGGTCATAGGATTCCTCAGCTTCTCCAGACTTTCATAACCATCTTCACGCATCTCCATTCTGCTCTCTCCAGTAATCCTGATGCTCCAGCTCAAAGTGACTCTCTTTGTGAGGCAGTGTTGCATTTATGCCAGAGATTGAGGAAGTCACACATCAAGCATCTAAACTACAAATAGGATGTAACCTTCATGTATATTCATGACCAACATTGCTTATGAAGCATTGTGTATTTATTGTGGTAATTTTATTACCAGTCAAGTACAGCTGGTCTGCAACTAATGATTATTTTCATAATTGATTAGTTGGTCCAATAGGTCTTTGATTACTCTGTTAGTTGGGATACGAAAACCTGCATGTATTATTCAGAAAAAAACAAGGATTATTCTTCCTTAAGCTAGTCAGTACATGACTAGCATACACAGCTTTTAACAGTACACACATAAAATCATAATATTTTTCATTATAACACAAAAAAGAAACAAAGTTTGCTGGTCTCAGTCTAAGAAACAGCAGTAATGTGTTTTTCTTCATTCATTTGCCTTGTTAATTCACTTTCTCCAGTCTTTAAACATCTAAAAAATCTTCCATAAGGTTTGCAACTGCACAAATAGGTATAGTAGGCTATCAAATCTGCAAACCTCTGGCTGCACCCCAAGAAATCTAACCTCCTTCAATGGTGTGTAAGCTTTCTCAGCCAAGTAGTGAGCACTGCAAAGGTGGAAACTTGCTTGGCTTGGCTTTGTACTACCAGCACGTCATGTGTCGGTTCACGGATATAGCCACACAGTTACACCAGCTCAGGGAAAAGGATGCCGTTTTCCTCTGGGACTAGGAAGCTGAGTGCTTGTTTGCTACCCTCCATGCCCAGCTCTGCCACCACCACCTCCGTGCTGTGCACTACCTCGCCAGAGGTCGTCACAGCTTGCTTAGTGCCCACCCAAAGGAGCAACTGCTGTCACCCAGAGCATGGGTGTCTAACCCATGCCACAGGAAGAAACATTGCCCCAAGCTGCAGTTACCCAGGGAGGGCCACTATATGGTTAAAGAACTATGTTTGAGCAATGTTGGTCACCAGGACAGCTGACCTTTAAAGGGAGTTTCTATGTGGGGTTTTGCCACTAGCTGCTATGCCATTGGAGCTTGCAAAGGTGCATGCAAAAAGGGCCAGAAGCAGAGGCACATGAGAGAGGCATGCCCTCAGTAAAAGGGAATTTTGTTGTTTGTTCATTTGAGTTGTGTTCATGTGTTTACAGTGTGTTCATGTGCCGGGTCTTGGGTTTAGTTAGCCTAGTTAAGTGTCTACCATAGTGTGTAATTTTATGGCTATAGGTGACGTTCTCTGCCATTTGGAGCACTGGGAGGTGTTTTTTCTGTGCTCAAGATGAAAAAGCATGTTTCATGCAGAAATTATGGCCTCTATTGACTCTTCTTATGCGCAACGCTGCAGTGTTTCCTGCATTCTACACTGAAAAAAGTTGCTTAAAGCTTGCTTTGAATGTGTATGACTTAAATGTGTACGTTGGTTCAACATGAATGAAATGTGTTATATCAGCGTAACTACTGTAAGTGCTTAATTAATAACCAGTCTAAGTATTTACTTAATCTAAGTTGATTTTAACATGTTTCTTAACTGTTCCTTAAGTGTACATAATGCCTGTTTTCATTGGAAATTAGGACACGTCTAGTGGTTTCTTTGAATGATTCAGCAGTTTGTTTCCTTAGCATGTGGTCAGCACCCTCAAGTATTGGGGTGTTGAGCAATGCACATGCACTGTGGTGTTGCAGCCTGTGAAAGCCTGGCCAGAAGACACGTTTTACACTTCAGTGAAGATTTAATGTTTAAGAAAACTGTAGTAATGGCCTTGGTTAAGCCAGAAAGATCCTCCAAGGCAAGGCAAGTTTATTTATATAGCACAATTCATACAAAATAGCAATATGCTTCACATAAATTAAAGCAAAAATAATATCAAAAAGAAAAATAGTCGATAAAATAGAAAAGAGTAAAACGATGGAAACAAAAACAAAAATAAGTACAAAGTATGTAAAATCTACATTAAAAACAAAAGAAATTCAAAGACATGGCTGAAGTGTAATTAAAATGAGCTCATTGAGGGTAAAGTGCAGTAAGAATAAAGTGCAAGTCTTAGTGCTCAATTATAGGCACATGAGAAGAGAAATGTTTTTAAAATATATATTAAAATCACTAAGTATGTGGCACATTTAAGATCTTCTGCCAGTTTGTCCCGGTTGTATGTGGCATAACGGCTAAATGCTGCTTCACCTTGTGTAGTTTGGACTCTATAAGCTGAGCTGTATCCATGGATCTAAGAGATATACTCGCTTTATATTCTTTAAACAATTTAAAGATGTATTCTGGGCCTAAACCATTCAATGACTAATATACAAACAGCTATATTTAGCTGTAGCTGTACTAAAATCTATTCTGTAATCAACAGAATGTTGTGCTCTGTTCTCTTGGTCCTGGTTAAACATCACGCAGCAGCATTTGGAATGAGTTGCAGCTGATTAATGGTATTTTTTAGAAAGTTGAATCAACAGACCATTTCACTAGTCCACTCTGGATGAGCTTCTGTAGTTCTTTTTGAGACACTAAACCTTTGATTCTGGCAGTATATTTTTAGGTGATAGAAGTTTGGTGATTGCTTTGATATGACTAGTGAAGGTAAGAGTCTAGAATGGCAAGATGAGACTTGGACTTTGGTTTTTAGGGCCCTGGAATTGAGGTGTTCACTAATATGAAGTATCTTCATTTTGCTGCCAAACACAATAACACTGTTTTGGTCCCTATTTAATAAAATTTGCAATTTTGCCTCACTCAATCAAATATGTGCTCCATACATTGACACAGTGAATCTGTTGAGCTGTAAACCATATGGTGAGACAGCCAGGTATATCTGTGTATCATCTGCACAACTATAGTAATCAGTGTTGTTATTCTGTAGGATTTGGCCCACAGGGAGTATATAGAAGCTGACGGGAGATCCGAGAACTGATCGCTGGGGAACTCACAGCTGCCAATGATGATGAAGTAACTACAGCCTTCTAAATAAGACCAGAACCAGTTATGCTCCAGAAAGTCCTACCAATTTTCCAAAATGCGTAGATGTCTTCTCTGATCTACAGTGTCAAATGCAGCACTAAGATATAGTAATATCAGTACTAATACTGTACCTGAGTCAGGATTCAGCCATATATCATTTAACACTTGCATAAGGGCAGTTTCAGTATAGTGGTGAGGTAGGAAACCTGACTGAAATTTGTCAAAATAAGGCAGATCTGTAGTTGTTTAATACAGAAGCATCCAGATTTCCCTTTTAAGGGTGGCCTAATGGCTGCAGAAGTGAGCCATTAACTATTTGCTGCAAATCACTTGCTATAGAGTTTTTAACCAGTCAATTGTAACAAAGAGTCGAGATACCACTAGCCAGCCACTAGCCAAGTGGTTTTATCTCGAATTGTGTTGCTTTAGAGACCATCCCACTGGGGGTTGTGGTTGTTGTTGTGAGAGTTGTGAAAGCCTCATGCTGTCACTTTCATTTTAATCTTACTCCACTATAATACTGCATTCACATCCTGTAAAACAAACAGTGCCACAATATTGGAAGTTTTTTTTTTGTTGTTGCTAAAAAGCTCTGTTTTGCTCTCATCTGACCACAGCTCACTCAAAGTTTCCCCAGCTGTGATCCTTTCTTTGATCCTTTCTTTGATCCCTCAAACCAGTCATCCCGGAATCAGAATCAGAATACGTCCTCTTCCTGGCAGATTCTTAACAACTCCAGCTGCTTTAAACTTAATCATTGCCTGATTAATTTGTGCAGCTCGATAACCTTTTGTTGCACAACATTGCTGTATTCTCTGTTCTTTCTCATAGTGATGTATGACTAAGGAAATATGGCCTGTGTGTCACTTTACATTTAAACCTCAGTGAGTTACATTTTTCATTCATTGTACCTCAAATAAAGGCTCGATTTTTGTAAATATTTTGAATGAAAGATTAAAAGTATAAGTGATAATGAATGTTTGTTTTTACTGGCTGTTTTGCTCATGTTTCCCAGGGCTGCCAATATATATGGAGGGCATGGTAGGTAGATTGTATAGGGAGGTTTGGGATCCTCTGCCACAAACAATTTTAGTTTAAAAACTATGTTTCTTGCATCCTAGTGACATGTGAAATCATGTTACAAGCACCATTTGCAATATTCTCTCCATAGTCAGGCTGTTTTTGCCGACCGCGATGGCATGATGACTAGGCAGATAGACAGAGCACTGTTCGCACACAGACTGGGCAGATGTCACAACATGCTATTGAATAAAGAACAACATGAATGCATCCGGTCTCCTGACTGTCTTCATTGGTGCAGAAAAAGAAAATGTCATACCAATACATGGTAGCTTGTCCAACTGGCAGGTGATACGTCATAAACTCATGTTTAGTTAACATGGAACTTGCATGAGTTGCCACTCAAATGCTACCTTTTAAAAGTAAGGAATCCCTGTTTTCAATAATATAAAAATCTGTTGAAAAAATATATCTAAAATTATTCTATTATGATTCTATTACTCTACAGCTCTAGCTTACAGTATTTTACACTGTTTAAGTTATTATGTAATAAAATAACAGCAATTATATGACAAATGATTCCACTTTGATTAGTAAATATTTGTTGTATATGACTCAATTGTGGGCACAGAAAAAGGCACCAGTCTGGCACCTTCTACAGCTCAAAGGAATATAGAATATATTTCATAAGGGAAATTATGTACATTTGATTTTCACCAAACAGTTACTGTAACCACCTACTTATTGCCTCTAAAGTGCATTGATTGCAATAGATATTAACTTTGAATAGCAGAGGCTGATGTTTGATTTAATAATCATTTAGATGAATCTCATCATGAACATTCCAGCTCTTCAGAAGGATGGACCCTTAGAAGGTTGTGGGCCTGTTCTGTGATGATTTTTGTCATTGTCTGCAGGGCTAGGGGCTGACCCAACTGCCTAGAACAGAACTAGCTGCATCTCCTTAATGGGCATTCTGGCCTAAAACTAGCACT